TGTTTCCATACTCAACTCAGTGCCCTGGTGTGGGACTGCAGAGCCACACCATGGGAGGTGCCATAAAACCGAGGTCCTAATCCTTGTGAAAGGCCCTATGATGCCATACATGAGAGACAAGGTATCAGCACCTGGCCAAATTCCCTGCTGTCTCCCTAACTGCCCATTGCAGTATCCACTGACCATTGACTTCCTCTTCACTTCCTGTGCTAAGCTGCTGTGTGGCAGCTATGTTCTAACCCAAAGGAGGCCAGGTCTTAGCAGTGGGAAGCCCATCCCTGCATAGCGACTGAGTATCTGGGGCCTTGTGGTGAAGAGTGCCCTTTTATCAGGCCTGGAGCTTTTATGTCAGCACATCAGAGCGGTGTTGGCCTCAAGGCCATTTCACAGCACCTCATGTCTGTCAGCAGCAGCCTGAGCTTCCCACATACACCTGACCCCACCAACATGCCACAGCCCTACCCTGGAGGGACCGGCCTAGGAGTCAGAGGAGAGGGAAATTCCTCTGGCCCATTCAGCCCTTGGCCTCTCATGGAGCTACCAACAAGAGGGCTAAGGAGGGCCCATCTTGGTGGTTTTTGTGATGTTAAAACTAGGCTGCAACCCAGTAAACTCATTCCATGGCATTGGGTAGCGCTAGGCAAGCAGGCTGAGACAGAGGGCTCACCAGCTGCCCAAGTCAGCCATTTGTGACCTGTGCACCATTACATGTCACAGAGAGGCTGGGACCAAACCCCAGATCCCTTGAAGTCTGGGGATATTTAGCTCCAGAACTGGCCTTTGCAGCTGGCCAGACTCCCACGCCCAGCATTCTCACTGCATCAGTACCCCACCACCACCCAGACATGCCCGACCCCAGCCACGGCCCCATGGTGGTGGTTCAGCCGTTGGGCACCAGGTGCTGGGGGAGCAGGCTGGCTTTAAGCGTCATGCAGAAGCCGTGAATGCCAGCAGCACATTGCTCAAGGCTGCAGCACTGGGAACATTCATTCCTTTGCTGCTAGCAAGGCCCTGTAACGGTAGAGGCCGTGTTTTCCAGCCATTTAGCTCTGGCCAGTGACACTGGGTTTGTTTTGTCACCATCTGGCTGCTAGGAGGCAGCAGTGCCCACTCCGAGGGTGCACATCACCAGAGCAAACCCAGGCTGGAGCCCTCCCTATGGTGCCCTGTGCTGGAAGGCAGGAGGCTCAACGCCTGGCTAGTGTGGGAAGGGAGGAGCCTAGGATTTCACTGCACTGGGCTCTAACTCCTGCCCTAAACCTCAGTGTCCCAGCCCCATGCCTGCCCACTGCTGGAATGAAGGGCCCCTGCACTTACCCCCACTCAAAGTCAGGTCCCAGGATCCATCCTTGCCTGCTCCATGCTGAAATGTGTCAGAGGCCTCGTAACAGGATTCCCACTCACCACTAATGTGCCTGCTCATGGCTACATCTGGGAAAGTAGTTCTTGTGGCACTGGGTGCCCGCTTCTGCTCTCTGCTCACTCTGCAATAGCCTATCCTGGTCCCTCTGGCCAGGCCCCTCCCGGGGTTGCAAAGTCCACCAGGACTAGTGGCTAGCAGTGGAACCCGGGCCTGCCTGCTACACCGGATTGTAGCCTAGGGGTCCTATAACCAGCAATCCAGGACTGCTCAGTCCCTGTCCCTTGGCTCATTCCTACCCAGCCTCTCTCTCTCTTCCCTTGCCTGTTTGTGGGTTTACCACAGGAGCTATACTACTCCCTGTCTATTTCACCCCCTTCTAGCCTCTTGCTAGCTAGACTCTTACTCCAGGGCAGGATTTTAGGGCTTACTTGCTCCCTGGACTTCCTGCTTGTCCCTAACAAGCTCCCTCATCCCAGAGAGCGATGGCAGATTCCTTCCCCGGCCATCCCCTTCTGGCTTTATAGCACTGCCCTAGCCTTTCCACAGCTGGGCTTCACTTGTAATTAACCCGGGTCCTTCTTCTCGCTGGTGACGCCAGGTAACCTGTCTGGCTTCTGGGGCCCTCGTTGGCCTATCAGGGCTGCACATCCCTTTATAGGCCTGAAGCCACATTCAGTGCCAGTGAATGCTGCCACACAGTATGCACTATGGCCTTTAGTAAGTATGTACGTAAGTCATTCCAATTCAGGGCCAACACTTTGTTCTGCAGCAAGTCCCCTCTTTGGTCCTCAGTTTGAGATGCACAACGTGAGCCCTGTGGGGAGGGAGAAGCTGCCTGGGGTGCTCCTGATTTCCTACCCACAAGGATAGAGTCCTGCAGCCCAGCTGGGGAGAAAAAGGCTCAGTCTCTATCCTCTATCTCATCCATTTATAGTATCGTTTATATCATTGTTAAGAGTAGCAGGTATTGATATACAATGCATTTGTCATCTTATTGTGCTTCCTATGAAAATGTGTGTACATAGTACAGATACCAGAGATAATTCAACACTTTATACACTTGAAGGCATTCAGAGATCGGTAACAGAAAAATGGCACAATATCAAGGCCTAAATGCTACTGGATGGGTATCTACACTGATATGCCGCATACAGATATATATATATGTACACACATATATATATATATAGTAATATATATTATATATTATATATAAGAAATATAAAATGAGGATGATATAGTAAAAACAGACAAATAAAAAATGATAAGTTTCAACGGGTGAGCATCAAGGTCAAATCCAAATCCAAGCCCCCCATCTTTAAAAGCTTTAGAGCGCGAGAGTGAAAATAAGAAAGAAAGAAAAGGAATGAACCCGCACTAAGGAGTCATAAGACAATCTCTGGACGTGGCTGACCCGTTTGTCTTTGGGCGAGTGCTAGTTACAAAGGCCTGACCCCGGTTCCTAATTTTGGTCAGGAAGTAAAATAATAATAATCATAAAGTAAATAAAGATTAGAAAAATAATAAAAATGACATTGCAAAAGCTCTTTAAGCTAAGTAGCACTTCAGCCCTGCAGAGCTGTCACTTGGTGGAGGGTGCAGGGTGGGCACGAGAATTCTGGGGCTGGCCCTGACAGTGGAACAAAAGGATGGAGGCAACCCAGGCAAGGTCTGGCTCTGGAGTTCCTGGCCTGGCTGCGGAGGGGGTTGGGTTTGTTACACACAAGTCAAACTGACCTCACAGCTCCTCTCCTCTATGTACCAGCATCCCATGGAGGGGCTATGACTGGGCTGGCTCCGCCCACACAGCCCAGCCTATGGACACTAGTAGCAGAGACTCTGGGACACAAAGGGCCAAGGGTGGCTGTGAACAACAGGCACCGCTGAAAAACCAAGCCCAAGGTCTGCCATTTTCAGTAGCTGCCGGTGATTTGGGAATTTCATCTGGAGAAGTTGTGGGCGGGGGGAGGGTCTGTGGGTCATTTCGAAAGGGTGGGTGTCTATGAGTCCCCAGAGGGTTCTGCTTGGTGGAGGGCTTGGCTCAGCTGATATTGGCAGAGCTGAGGGACAGGATCTGTCCTGCTGGAAGCCTCCTTCCGTGGGAAGTTAGCTCAGCCCATGGGCATCAGCTTCTCCAGCCAGCTCTGAGCCACGGGCTTCCCTGGCGTCAGGCTGTTCCAGAGGATGCCTGGCTTCCGTCTGACTCCATGGCAGATGGGAATGCAAAGCCCTACATTTCCTGGGACAGCACCTGCCTGGAGGACATGTGACCGGCCTGGGAAAGGCATGGCTCCCCCCAGAAAACCCCTGTGTCTGACTATCATAGTGTAGCTCTGGAGAGTGGGCTGTCTTGGGCAGGCTCCCCTTCCGGGCCGATCCCACCTGCATGGGAAGTGGCAGCACGATCAGTGTGAGCTTCATCCATCAGCATTTCCTTTGCCTGTCATGCTGACCCTAGTGCTCCCCATAGCACATCCAGCCCCAGCTGCCTGGCTTGGCAGGCTTATCTGGAAAGGACTGTGCAACAGCGGGGGCTTATGGGCCTGAGGGGGATTCTCCCCTTTACGTGCCCCATTAGCTATGAGGCTTCTGCCTTAGGGGAAAAGGAGGCTGAGGCCTCTTAGGGTTTTTGGAAAGTCCTCCTTGACCCTGCAGCATGGATACTGTACGGGCCTCATTCCCCTCCCCCACCCCAAGTTACAGTCTTTGGCGCTGTCCACACACAGGGGCCTTTCTGGACGCCTCTGGATTGTGTAGGTTCCAGATGTGAGAGTTTGGGCAGGAGACTCCTCTGGGGGTGGGGCATGTGGAGGAGGGTGGTGGTGAAGGGAGGAAGAAGGCTGTGCTTGCTCACAGCTGGGGCTATCATTACCCCAGCTCAGTCCACAGAGCACCAATCGTGGTCATGTTGGAGGGGACAGGAGCCAGGGGAGACCTGGGGGCATCTGCCCTTGAGCTGAACCCACAGCCAGGGAAGGCTCCCAGGGACCATCATGCTCAGAGACTCAGTGCCAGGGGCAGGGGACTAAGTTCAGAGCAAGACTGTGGCTGCTGAATCGGCTGCAGTGCACATGCAGTGCAGACACACAGCAGAAGCTTCTGGGATCCAGCTCTCACCATCAGCCGCTCCCATCCACACTGGGGGTGAAATGCTGAAAGAGGGGCCCAGGCAAACATGCTGCCATAGCAGTGGGGCCCCTGGCTCAGAGGACAGGCCCCGGGGGCTCCCATCTTTGTGGAGGTGATGCTCCAGTACTAACAGATTCCCCTGCTCTGTGGAGAGCTGGCTCAAGCTGAGCGCAGGAACCAGGCCTCCCCGTGCTCACTCATAACCCTCCCCCCCACCAAGTCTCTCTCCAGTGCGATGCGTGGATGCGGGATAGACATGGAAACCAGGTAAATGGACAGGAATGTGGAACATGGGAGAGGGGTTACTTCCCCCAATGTGACTGCAGCCAAAGAGCTGATTCTTCTGGGCTCCTTTCTCTTTTTACTTAAAAACAAATTGAGGAGCCAAGGAGGAGCAGGCCAGGTCCTGTGGCCCAGCCCGGTCCGTGTGTAGCTCCAGCACAGGCTGCAGAGTCAGAGCTGTGTGGGGGTGGGGGGGGGGGGGGGACCGGAATGTCCAAAAGTCTCTAAACTATGGGGGGGTGGGGGAGCAGCTGGCGCTGAGTCTGTATCCAGGGTCAGAAACCAACCCAACTGCCTGCCACCTGGGCCTAAACCTGAGGCCATCACTCTTGTTAATGTCCCACTGTGGCGAGGAGCAAGGGCCCCTAGGTGTGTCCCCTCCATGGATGCCCCCCAGGGACAGGGGCCGCTCTCCGGAGGGCTTTGGTAGTGTACGTTGTACATCCGGACGTCAGTTAGCAGGTGAAGTCCTCAAACGTGCCCCGGGCCGGGTGATGAGGTAGGATGTTGGCTGCATACGTCATCCCGACTGGGTGGCCCCTTAGGCTCTCGCAGGGATTCTGGGGGCAAGGGAGATGAGGGAAGGAGAGTTAAGCACGGCAGGTGCTGAGCGCAGGGAGAAGAGCAGATGATACAGCAACAGCATCATGCAATCCCTGATAGAGGCAAGAGTCCAGCCCTCTGGTAATCACAGAGACCAGAGGCTCTGGCAGTATTTGGGGAGCCTGGCAGCTCAGGGGATGCCCCAAAAACACTTAGTGCCCTTGCCCAGGGAGCCCCAGAGCACAGGAGATCTCCATATATCTGGCTGAGTGACACCATCTCCCGTGAACAAAGACCCTGTTTAGAGATGGGCTGCAAGGTTTGTGGCTCTTCTGTAATGAGTGAACCAGCTCCCTAGGCCCAATGCCCCGGAGCTTGGCGGATCTGTGCATCTGGGTCAGAACTTTCTGGCTTGGGGCCATGGCCCCAAGAGAACCACAGTTTTCAGCTATTTTCAGCAAGCCAGTCGGCACTGAACTCCGGTGCCTAAATACCATGGTGACTGGCACTCTAGCAAGACCTGGGCGGTTTTCTATCCTCTCCCTCTCCAAAGGCTTCTAGCTACCACTCCAGGCAGTCCCAGAGGACAGGGGTACTCGGCACTGGAGCATGGGGCCCCAAGCTGGCATGCTCAATGCCCTGCTGTGGATCCCAGCCATGTCCTTTCACTGCAGATTGCTCCCCAGCAATCCCCACAGCACAAAGGTCGTTCCCACAAGCCACTTTCTCAGCAGCCTACAGGCTTCGGGGGTTCCTAACTTTGGTTTTCAAGGCAGCCAGTCCTCTCTTAGCCCTCCTTGCTAGCTCAGAGGTGAAGGACCAGGAAGAGACCAGGACAGCAAGGATGCTAAAGGGAAGGACTGAGATGCATGCCCTATGCGTGGGGACCTTGCACAGTCCCTGGCTAGACTACAGCAGGCTCTGGCCAGTGATATGGGTCTGCCTTTCTCACAAGCACTCAGCAACCTCCAATAGAACCCCCAGCCCCAGAGGGCTCGCTGAGCGGTATGGGGGGCACTGCAGGGCAGTGTGCTGCCCTCCCCCCAGTGTAGGGGTCAGTGGGGATGTCAGGGAGTCTAACTGAGGTGTGGCCCAGGCCACAAGGAGAAGGGCAGGTTCAGGCACTTACATGGCGTTTCACATCGTCCATGCTCAGGGCGACGCCCTTGTCTGTGTTGTTCCTTTTGTGATTCTTTTGGCACTTGGCCCGGCGACAAAGCTTGTACTTTATGACCTGAAAGTGAAAGCAGCTCCTGGGTGGGATGGCCCCCTCAGTGACCCAAAGCATCCTGCGCGCTGCCGGGGGCACATCGGGGCACCAGTTACAGGGGGGCAGTGCTGAGGTAAGTCACATGACGAGGGACTGGTGGAAACTGCACAGGCCAGATCCTGCTCCCAGCCACAGCACAGGTAAATCCAGAGTGACTCCCCATTCTGCACTGGATGCAGGGTAGCTGAGATCAGAACTCACCCACAACGTATGAAGGGGCTCACAGCTCCCATGGGCAGGAGGGATTTGGGTCCCAGGGGATTGGCAGGAGGCGCCTGAGGCTGGCAGCAGCCTGAGGGAGATTTCATGATGAGTGGGAAGGGACTGGGAGGGCAGAGGGGGGCTGGCGGGTGAGACCAGGCGGGGAGCAGGCAGTGAAGTGACATGCAGAGGTGAAGGGGAGGAAGGAGCTGTGGGGGAAGCAGTGTGACAGGGGTTGACCTTAGGGGAGCATCTTGGTGCATCATGGGGGATGGTTCTCCACCCCCACAGCAGAGTGGGGTTCCTGGTGATCCCTCCTTCACTCACCTCATAGGCATAATCGAACAGCTCCAGCACGGTCAGGATGCTGGCCCCAATGAACAGCCCCATCTGCCCACCAATGTCGCCTGGAGACGAGAGGGATGAGAGCCGTCAGGGCGGGCTGGCTGGGAGTGGGCGGCCCGTGTGATGAGCCTGTGACACGGACACCCTCCACCCCTCGGCCAACCAAAGCCGGAGGCCTCTGGTGATCCTCGGGCCTGACCCCAGGCTGCAGCTTGGTGAGCTCTGATCTGCCGGGCTGGTGAACCTACGAGCTCAGCGACTCTCCACATGGGCTCAGGGCATGGGTTCTGCACCCTCTGCTCAGTGGAAGTAGGGGAGCAAGTCCTGCCGCCTGCGATGAATGGACTCACCAGTGGCCAAGGCTCTGTCCTCCAATGTGAGATTCACTAGGAAGCCCCAGGGATGAGGCCAAGAAGCCAGGGAGCCTGCAGCCATGCCGGGATTTTCCCAGAGCACCAGGGTTCTGGGCTGCAGGTTTTGGCTCTGTGCCTCCAATAAACACCCCTCAGTATGGAGCCAGCAAAGCCCCCGGCCCTTGGGGATGGCTACGCCGAGAGGCCAAGTACTCACAGCACCCATTGACCCTCAGTCCCTCTAGGAATCGAGCCCTGACTCTCCCTTGGCCGCTCGAGAAGGGCCTGGGACAGGCTGTCAGGCTCTGCAGACCTGCCCCACTGACTCATACAAGCAGCTAGACCAAGTGGGATCTGCCCCATCTTTGGAGTACCGAGGCCCAAGAGTTTCTCCAACCAACGCAAGGGAGAGCTGGAGCAGGGCGGTTCTGGAGGAAAAAGCCTCGGAAAAGCCAAGTCAGGAGGGATAAGGTGTGTGAGTGTGGGCAGTGATCTGCTACATGGAATGGGGACCCCACCCACTTCCAGGGGTATTTCCATTCCCCAGTCAGCCCAGAGGCAATGTTGACCTTTCCAAGCTACTCTCATTGGCTCACCTGCCTGCCATATAACCTTATAAATCAATCTCTCATTGGCTCACTTATCTTCCCCGAGTTTGATAAGCTTCTCTCGTTGGCTCACCCACCTGGCCTAGCAGGGCCTGTCAATCGGGACCTCAGACCATCTTCTACCAGTGACAAATTGGATGACTCAATGCACATGCACCCAGGGGATCCTATATAATTTCTGCACTCCATGAGCCCTACTCCCTCAGCCGGCTAGGCCAAACCCCAATGGCTCTGCACTGAGATGAAATCTGCTCATTAAATGGATCCATTACTATTTTCCAATTAGTTTATTCAAAAAGCCCTTAAACATCTGCACTTGGGTCTGCAGGAAGGAGTCTGCTGCAGAGAAAACAGATCAGGATAGGAGCTTTGGGGAAGGACTGGTAGAGATAATGCTACTTCCCGCTCACTGAAATCTGGTTCACCTGCCGACACGGATCACATGGTTCCCCCCATCTGCCTGGGGTGGGGTGGGAGGTAAATCGCTGAGCTGAGCCAGCTGCCACGGGCTAGGTGAGGTGAAGTGTGCAAAGGGGCGTGAGTTCCATGCTGAAGGTGGGCACACAGCCGTCTGAGCTGGGGGCGATCACGCTCCCACTCATCCCATGTGATGTTCTGGAACAGGTGCACCAGATTTATCCCAGTGCCGCTCACAGCCGGGTCTGTCCCCAAGGGGGCAGCAGGAGAAGCAACAGCCCTGTGTACGAACAGCTCCCACCAACCCCCACACTGAGCCTCATCCTGGTCCCACAGAAGCCAGCAGGAGTTTTCCAATCACAGCAGTGGGATCCGGACTCAGCTACCGCACTCAAATGTGCAGTGTCTCTCGGCTCCTTGGTGTGCGATGCCTCCCGCAGCACACATCACCATGTGCCTGGCCCAAGAGCCATGGAATTACCATCTGCCCCACCTCTCCCCTGCACTCAGCACCAAAGACCCTGCCCTCCCAGGGGGCTCCACAGCTCATGCCCACTGGGCTGCCGCAGAACCAGGGTCTCTGACTGCCCTCCCTGCTTCAGCTTACCTCCAGGCATCACCGACAGGTGGGAGGGAGAGCCACAGCCCACTGGAGGTGACAGGCTTCTGGGGCTTAGTGCTGGGGGAATCATTGGAGCTGAATGGACCCCTACCCCAAGCACTCAGCTAGCGTTGCTCAGCAGTGACCACAAGGCCTGGCTCCCTGCCTGCCCCTGAGTATGGAGGGGAAACATGGCTCACCCAGCAAGCCAGCCACCTCGTAGGCCTTCTTCTGCTCAATTGTCTCATAGTTCAGGGCTTCAAAGAAGATATCCAGCACCAGAAAGTTCTCCCTGCAAGAGAGGAAGGGAGTGTCACTGGATGGGGCTGGCTCTGTGTGACAGTCTGGAGTCGCTGAAGCAAATCCAGCATGGACAAAATCAGCAGAAAGCCACGAGACCAGGGAAAGGAGGCCAGGGATTAAGAACCGGCACCCGGCGTCCCATAGATCTGGAGACTGGGCAGGTGCCCAGGGGGCCAATGGGGAATGAAACTCTTGTGGCACTGGCAATACGTGCAGCATTCTGGTTCCATTGGCTCTGCCCCCAGGGCTGTGGCGCAAGCCTCCTCCCCAATTACCCGATGTACTGCTCCGATTTGTTGTATTTCTTGGCCAGGTACTTGGCTGAGGCCTTGCTGGGGATTTTCACCATGGACAGCTCCTTGCCAAAGCGGGTGACGTTGCAGGGCATCTCACAGACGCAGAAATCGTTGTCCTTCTCTAGCAGGAAATCTGGGGGGTGGGAGTGGGGGGAAAAGGGAGATGGGTGGAAAGGAGGCGAACGGAGAGAGAGAACAAAATAAAACAATAGCAGCTCATACTCTAAAGGGGTCTCTCGACATTCCCCAGACTTCAAAGCCGCCCCTGGAAAGTGCCACTCAAGTCACTTAACAGGAGAAGAAAGAGGGGGACAATTTCTGGAAGATTTCTAGGACCCTCTCCTCCCAGTTCCCACTTGTAAGCCATTCCCCTGCCCTAGCTAAGGCTCTTGAGAGGTCAATGGCAACAAAACAAACACAAGGCACTAACAGAGCCAAATCAAAGTAGGAGAAAGAAAATCACCATCTGAAAACGATGCAAATAGAAACAAATGAAGGGGGTGGGGCAATCAGCGCAGGGATCAGAGGGAGGGACAGGGGAAGAGAGAGGTGAGAAATATGGCACTCGCAATCACATGTTACAGAAGAGTCTTTGGAGTCTGAAGGATGAATGTCAAGGGGGGGCAGGGTCTGCTGCAGCCAAGCCACCATCATTGCCAGCCATTGGCACGGCCCCATGGCCAAGTCTCCATTGCTGCCTGCCATGGCTGAGCCTCCATCATCGTCAGCCATTGGCAAGGCCCCATGGCCAAGTCTGATGTGGCAGTAGGGTCCTTGACAGGTGTGCAATAGGAGTGTAAACCACAGTAGCAGAGTGTGAGTCTTTCTTCTCTAGTGGGTGGTCCATATATGAGAATAAGGGTCTACTGCAGCTGCCAGCTAATGGAGCTACTCCCTAAGTTCAAGCAGTAAAAGCGTGTGCTTTTAGCAGTGAATGGCCAGGGTTCAACCCTGAAGACAGCTGCTGGTGATGGTCACAGGAGCACAGATACCATCAGGATGAAGACCCAGGAGGAGTCTCAAATATAGCCAGAGTCGTCTTTGTCCTTTAGGGCTTAAAAAACTAGTTGCACCCCGGAGAGATTGCTCCATCTATGCATAGAGAGCCTGACAGGACCATGGCTCTGAGCTTCTGTAGTAGCAGGTGTGGTGCTGGACCCCAGAGGCAGTGGAAATGCACGCCTAGATGGATTGAAGGGCCTGATTCAGAGGTGGATAGAGTCCTTTGGTGCTACACCCCTTCCTGATGTCTAGGGGACCTGCATGGGGTTGCTGGCCTCCCCCTTAGAAACTGGAATGAGGTATGAGTTACAGTAGGGATGGGGATCTTCCTTCACACACCCCACTGCTGCTGGGTGTTCTCCTTGCCCCTTGATATGCGTGGCACAGCAAGAGCCCTGGCCTCCTGGAATGGAGTGGGGCCCAATGCCCTGCTCTGTGCCAGTGGCCAAACCTGCAAAGGGAGAGAGGGGCAAGGCAGTCTCACCTAAGGCCGGGTCCGCGCACTCCTTGTACTGCTCGGGGGTGCAATAGGGGGCATCGCCTGCAGGGAGACAGAAGAGCAAAGTTTCAGTCGAACCTCTGTGCTGGGGCTGGATTTAAGGTGAAGAGGCTGATGGAGGGGGAGTGGGTGGATGAAACCAGACTACACGGGCCATTGGTCTGATCCAACCGAGGAGGGGGAGATACTGGACTACACAGGCCATTGGTCTGATTTGGTATGGGTGTGTGTGTGTGGAGGGAGGATGATGAGCCATTGCTCTGGTCCAGCATGGGTGTGGAGGAGAGGGGTACAGGAACAGCTAGACCAGCAATCTTATCCTGTGTGGCAGCCTGAGGATTTATTTTGCTGCTCCTTGAATTTGTGTGTTGTTTCCTAGCCTGCACCTATCCCCCACCCCCCTGGACATACTGTCCCATCAGGATCCTGAGCAAACAGACAGTCTTGACTTTAACACCTCACCTCGACTGTGTACAGAATCCCTGCCCCAGATAAAGCAATCAGCCAGAATAATGTAGGGTCTGTGATTCTGTATGTTAATTTCCATGCCTTACTTGCTACGGCCTGTTTGCAAGTGACTAGTCCCATCAGTGTAAGACCAGTGCTAAAGCCCTTGGAATAAAGGGCTAGTTCCATGAGAGGGGAAGTGGCTCCCAGCGGTGGGGGACAGAGTAGAAGGTTCAATCCGCAGCCCCCGGGGAGACTGCTGCCTGGTCCCCCTGCCTGCCCGGAGCAGCACATGCCTGCCTCGGGATTTATGCTGCCTTATTTATTTCCTCCAAGCCGGCCTTGGCTCTTAGACAAATACTGGGGCTGCCTCAATCTTGGTAGTGCAACTGCTGCCATTCAAATGCTGATCAGTACTGTCTGGTCTGATCTTCAGAGAGGGGCTTAGTGAGGGGTCTGTGGGCAGCATGCTCCAGAGCCAGCACCCTCCACGGAGACCTCCAAACCCACCGGGGAAGTACCTTCAGGGGCACTCTGGGGACCCAGCATTACCTGCTTGCACACCCCAGAGGCGTAAGTTTAACCCCCAACTGCACTGCCAGAGCCCACGTGTCTGCCCATCTCCCACGGTATCCTGGCTCCAGCACTGCCTGGATATGTTTCTTGATAGGCTGAGAATTGAGAGGAATTTGGGGGATTAAACTGGAATCCAGCCTGGAGCCACGGAGCTGTGCTGGAAGTGCCAGAATAGCTGGGATTTAGGGGAGGGGGCTGCAGCAGACTCAGGCCAGAGCTGCATTAATTGCAAAGGCTGTGCTCTGAGAGCAGTGGGTCTCAGCTCATGCACTGTGAGGTGCTGTTCACCTTCAGGTATTGTTTGCCCCAAAGCAGGACATGGAACAAGACAGAGCAGTGTCCTGTTGGGGCAGGAATCCTGGAGCAAGGGGAGGGGGAGGGGGGCACTGGACTAGATGGGTCACTGGTCAGCTCTGGTACAAGAAGCAAGATAATGGACTAGATCTACTAGCAGTGTGGGGGCAGCGGGATACCTGTCGAAATGAACCCTTGGGCTGATCCACGGCAACAATGAAGTGGAGGGTTACTGGGCTAAGTGGCCCATTGGTCTGATCTGGGGCAGGGAGGCACTGGGGGGATACTGGGCTAGATGGGCCCATTGGTCTGATCTGGGGCAGGGAGGCAATGGGGGGATACTGGGCTAGGTGGGCCCATTGGTCTGATCTGGGGCAGGGAGGCAATGGGGGGATACTGCGTTAGATGGGCCCATTGGTCTGATCTGGGTCAGGGAGGCACTGGGGGGATATTGGGCTAAGTGGCCCATTGGTCTGATCTGGGGCAGGGAGGCAATGGGGGGATACTGCGTTAGATGGGCCCATTGGTCTGATCTGGGGCAG